TTTTCTTAAATTAAATAAAAGCAACGTAAAATATAAAGAATATAATTATAAAAATAAAATAATGTAAAATAATATTGAATTAATGTTGAGGATTTGAACAAAGGACGAAGAATTTGAGATGGTAATCAAACTTAACACTTTTTAATTTAACCTGTCAATTGAATTTTGAAAGTATAATCAACATTGTATTTTAATTTAATATTTTTACTTTTATAATTCTATTTTATATATTAGTATTGTTGGATATAGAAATACTTTATCATAATTCTAACAAATACAGATTTTCGTATGAGTAATATATACTACATACTATTAATTATGTTTCATAAATAAATTACTTTCAAATTAAAACAATTAGTTAGCATTAAAATTTGTTAGATAAGAATTAAATACATACTTTGTGAACATAATTTTCCGAATAAATTTTTATAGATAACTTTTTTTTATTGTATACCATGGATTTTCAAGTTCATCACAAATTAAAAATTTTAGACCACTCTCATTTCTAATGCTCAAGACTACAACATAAAACTACCAACGAGTGAACACAAGTCTAGGAAAATAGATATTGATATGAGGAAGTGATTGGTTTTGGCTTTTATTTATTGTTATTGCAAAGTAATGAGTAAATGAAAATTACCTTCCTTCAAATTTAAAGGAATTCCTGGTTTATAAATTCATGCTTGGAATTGAAATTATAAGTTCATTCCTTTAACATGAAATAAGGGAAAAAACATGAGAAAAAAATTGATAGTAACACACACCTGAATCACCAAACACTGACTTGTTGCACTTGCAAGCAATGTACCATTACTCATCTTCTTTTGAGAACATATTTTTCAATTCCTTTGATATTACAAAACCCATCCTGTGGGAACATATAAAATTGGGACTAATTAGGATAATTCAAATAGAGAAAAATTTTAGAAAAACTAAAAAGTAAAAAAAAAAATCTTTGTCGTCCTTCAATTGTTTTATAGTTATTTTGGGAGTAATATAAAGAAAACTTGAGATTGTTTTTATGTGATTTCAAGAGTCCTACAAAGAGAATTTTAAAATGATTATTTAAGAAATATTAAAATAAAATTATAAAAACTTGCTCCAAAAATTTAAAAATAACTTATCTTTAAAATCAATAATCTGTTGAACATTGAAATTGAATATAAGTCTTATTGCATACATGACATTTTGAAAAGCCATCTTTCATAAATTAAAAATATCCAAATATAAAATTATATTATAGAATCAAAATAAAATGAGAAAAATATAAATATAAATAGGAGATAAACCCTTAAATTTTTTCAATTTGGCAAATTGGATAATAATAACAATTTAAGTAACATCACCCAAAATAAGAAAAGCGTTGAAATTATCCATGTAAGGACCGAACAAAGCACATCTAATCCTCACCCTTAATTTTTATAAATTAAAATTAAAATTTTACTGATTAAAATTCATAAGAATCTCAAAGAGTAAATCATAAATATTATTTACCAACATCAGTTCAATTACATTCGTCTTTTTTTTTTCCAATACTAATAGTAGATAACATTCCAATTACATCATCATCTTATGAAAAAAGACAAGATATGGAAAAGAACTTACACAAATCATTTGGAAAAAAAACTTGCATAAATAATATTTGGACAATATGGAAGATGTAAAAAAGGTCTAAAATTATTGAAGTTTCCAATATTTTGACACAAGTTCTTAATTGAAATTTTAGTTAAAATTCATGTATAATAGTCTGAAAATTACCAATGTTTCCTCCAACACCAAAAAAAAGTCAAAATATATGCATTATTGTCAATCAACAAAGATTTGAACTCACAGACCAAAGCTTCCCTCAATAAAGCATGAATTTTTGTTCCCCTAAATAATAAAGTGAAATTGCTACAGGAAACAGAAATGTGTGTGTGTGTGAGGGGTTATTTCTGGGTTTCATTATATATAAAAAATATATAAATTTTCAACACACACACACACACACACACATATATATATATATAAATGATGCAAATGATTATTAAAAAGCAGTCAATTACATTAAAAATGAATGACTAGTTATTGGTGATTAATTACTAGAAATAAATTGATTACATGGATCACCTAAACCAGATTTTGGGTTTTAAATCAAATATCCAATAGGAATCCTTTTCATATAACATGTTAAATAGTTAAATAAGGTAAAAAATTAAATAAATGGCATTTTCCTATTAAAATATTAAATAACACAATAAATTAATAAATTAGTAAAAAATCAAATATCATATCATGATATTTTTATATAAAAATGGAATGTGTGTATATATATATGTGTGTGTGTGATTATATATATGGAAAAAAGAAATAGATAGAAATTAATTACGTGAATTTACAGCATGTGTGTGTATGAAAAAAGAAAACAAAATTGATTAATTATTGGAAAGAAATTTATTTTGTAATTCTATGTATTCCAAATGTTTGAGAAAAGGACACCTAAAAACTTCCTTTTTCCAAATCATTTTTGTTTTATAGTACAAAATGCTGTTTGTCTTTTTTGTTTACATTTATTTTAACCATTTTTTTAAGAGGCAATAAATAATATTTTGTAGAAAAAGTCCTCTAATATAAATACATACTTTTGAGTATATATGAACATTTTAGGACAATTTTATAAAGTGTCTTATTAATATTATTATCTTTACTCACCGAAATATGTCATATCCTAATACAGAAAGGAAATATATATATATATATATGTGGACATGAAAATAGATAAGGATGAATTATTGGAAAGAATTTGATTACGTAATTCCATGTAAACATCGGATAAAATGGCACTTAGAAATTTTATTGTTGCAAATCAATTTTGTTTTATAATATTAGAAGATTCAATGCTTAAAACTGAACATGTTCATGCATGTCAAAATTAAGTATATTTGATAACATTTAGTATGCAATTACTTAAATTTGAAATTTCATTGAAAATTAATTTGACTTTTAAGTGACGTAAATTTTATTTATTATTGAATCTAAAAATGATTAGATATATATAATTTACATTTTTATTATAAACTATTATGTATATCTTTAAACTTTTAAACTAAAAAATTCAACACTTAAATATTCAAATGCTGAAAATATAGTGATTAAACTTTTAATATTCACTTGTTTAAAACAAATCTTCTTTTAATCTTCCTTATTTTCTTCTCTCCTGTTTCTCCTTTTTTGTATAACTCTCTTGTTCAATTATCATTAAACATTCTCAAATTTGGTTGGTAAAGTATAATAAATGAGTGTGTGTATATAATGAATGTGAATGCAAGATAAGAGTCACATTTATGGTAAATATTTACGGGTAATTTAGGAATTTGAAAGCGATATTAGAACGCACACAAGGGATGGGAAGAGAAGTGACAAATAGTAAAACTTTTTTAACTAATGCATGTCTACTTTGCAACTTTTAGCATGGTGCCAAGTGACTCGCAAACATAATTCAGACATATAATGAGAGAAGAATCACTCCCCCTCACCTCTCTCACCACCACCACCACCACCACCACAAAATAAATTTGGTTTTTTATGACCAACTTGTATGAAATTAGATAAAACTGCCTATATAATTTTGCTTATGAGTAAAAGTGTTTCAATTGATGGATATGTTCAAAATCCATCATATATCAAACACTCGGGTTGCAAGGTTAAATTGAAAGCATTGATAAACCAAATTCAGTTGAGATATTTGGTTTGGTTTGGTTTGAGGTTATTCTGATTGAAGGAAAATCGAACTTCTTAGTTTGAATTTTGGTTTGAAGCAGCAAAAAGTTATGGGGAAGAACAGGTTTGTTGTACTCTCTTATACGTAAATTTGTATTTGTATCTTGTATATGTATGTGTTTGTGTGCAGTAGCATAGATAAAATTTACTTCATAGATCCATATATTAAATTGCTAGTTAAGTAGTGAGGTTAAAATGTTTGTTCATAATTGTCTTAAACTTGTTCTTTTTGCCTCTAAGCTTATATATATTCAAAAACTGAAAAACTAAAATGAACTGGTGCTTGTAGTTTCATATATTTTTCAATCTTTTCAATAGGTTTGATTTTGTTCCCATTTCAAGAGCTCAAAAAGTAAAACCCCAACTTAACTTTAGAAATTTGATTGAATTCAATAAAACTAAATTAAATTACTCTATCAAATACCACCTTAAGTTTGATTCTTTCTGTTTTTCAAGTAGAAGTTTAGAAATTTAATTGAGTTGAAACAAATCACATCAAATGACTCTTTCAAATACCACCTTAAATTTGATACATCCTATTTTGGATACATATTATTGATTCATTTTTTTAACTATGTCAAGAAGGTTGGAATGGTAAATAAAGTTATTTTTCTAATAGTAATAAATTTAAAACTATTTTAACTGATAATTTCCCTACCAAAATAATTTTTTTTTTTATACAGAAAAAAAAATACTTTGATTCTTGCTTGTCTTTGCCCCTTTTCTCCCTTGTTTAAGGTAGACTTGACCCTGGATGCGCACCCAATGGGGCAGCGCACCCAGGGTCAAGTAAACCCTTGTTTAGTGTGCCAGGCACAGTCCAACCCATGCGAGGCCTTAGGTAAAGCGGTGCATGATGTCAAATCAAGCAAGTCATCAAGTTCTCTCACTCACAAACCTCACCCCAAATTTTATTAGGATCCTGCATTTCTTCTTCTGCTCCTCCGACACCTCCTTGGTTCAACGTCGTACTCCTCTCTCTTCTATATTCTGCATTTTTTGCCGCCCTTTTACAGAAAAAATCCCTAATTTTGCTTTTTCTTCGATCCCTTGAAAATGTACTTAAAAAGCTTAGCTGCCTTGTTAAGTCTTGGTACATCAAATTCCCATCGCTTTTCGTCGTCTAGCCGACTTCTCCCTTCTCCCCCTCGTTTTTTCTCGTGTTGATGAAGCCTTGATTGTGTTTTGGGGGCAAATTGAATGGTGTTGACCTTTGCTTGATCAAGTGTGTTTTAGGCGAAATGGGTGTATGCGAAGTTGCTTATCTCTATTGAAAATTGATTTTGTTAGGGTTTTATGTGATTTTAAACTGCGTATCGATGATTTAAGTGTTGCTTCTGTACGGTTAGACTATCTGCATTGGGGCTGAAAATGTCGGAGGACATGCTTCTCCATTTTTCTTCCAACTCATCAAATCAATCCGATCAGTCTTTGCCCACAAAGATTGCAAAGCTCGAAGCTCGTATGGTGGGAAAAGCTCCCTCAACTGCCCCTGCTCCTGCTTCTGCCCCTGCACAGGTCTCCTGGCCGGCTCTTTCTTCAGCGGCCAAATATGGGCCGACTGCTGCTACAGAGGATTTGGCTGAGCCATTGCTTTCAAGCGATTCTGATGATGATGTAAGTTTTGGATTATTGTTATGGGATTGTGTTTCTACATGGTATATAATTTGGTCTGTTTTCGTTTTGTTGATTGAACTACTGCTTCTTCAATTGCATGACAAGAAACCTTAGACTTAATAGCTAAAATGAAACGGTCGACTGCATCTAAACTTCTGAGAATTTTGTCCATCCAAATTAACGACATTAGTGTTTTACATTTTAATGAGCCCTATGGCTTCTGGAATCAAACGTAATTTCATATGCAAAACCAGATATCTACACAGCCATTCTTTTCCTTAAATTGTAATAAGTTTTCTTCTGATTGGCTGCGAAATGGAGTTGAGCGTTGAAGTTTGGCTGAACTCAATTCACTGTACCCGTTGTATCTTAATAATGATCATCGTGCAACAGATATGGTGACTTGGAACATGTCAAATGGATCAAATTCAGAAATTGTAGAATGTATAAGTTTATGGCTGTCAAATCATGTTTCATTTATTCATTGATGTTAAATAAGTTTGTTCAGTTCATAATGATTCTAGATCTAGTTTTAGATATTGAATATATCTCTGTTTTGTGCTCTGAAGTTAGTTTTTATTATTTCTAGGTCACGGGAGGTTCCACTAACTTATTACTCTCTTCTACCAGAAAACTGATATGCATAGCATAATTGAAATCTTTTTGGATCCAAAAGTGGCTTATGAATGTTGTATGGTCCCATAAAAGACTGAGTTGGAAAATGGGTCATATGTGGCTTGTTATTATGTCACCGAAAATGTTGTGAACATGAATCACTTCAAACATGGAGTAAATCTAGACATTAAGTATTTCATCTTTGAAAAAAAATATTAATTGTAGATCCAAAATGCATTGGAGCGTGAGTCTGTGTGTTTGCACATTTTGCTTAGCTTTTAATAATTATCCACTTATATTTTCAAAATGTATGCTTGCATGAACAAGAAGATGAAATGCCTCTTGCAAAAGATTTGGCATGATAAATGATAGGGATTATTATTTTATTTGGAGTCTAGGACTAACAAGGAAAATGGAGTAATAAGATCTCATGATTGATAAATAATTATTTTGGAACTTATTGCTGCCGATGCGTAACTTATCCTGGAAGGAATATTTGGTTGCTTGCATTTAAAGAACTGTGTCTTTTGGTGGAGTGTGCACATGCTTTGTCGCATTTGCATGCATGTTTGTATTGTTTCCACGAACTTTATTTTTAATGACTATGTTTTCAAAGTTTGATGACTGTTAGAATACTTATATCCCATAATTGGAGGTTCTGGATTTTCTCTTTTAGAAGCATATGTGTGCTTTTTGTTTCTCTTATTAACCATATGGTTTTGTTTGACTAAGTCTTTCTTTCTTTATTTATTATTAAAAAGGTAATAGGATTCACAGGCTTTACAAAAGTCTGATTTTTCCCTACATTCTTCCTGTCCTTGACAAAGCTTTATGTGTTTACTTATGCTAGAATGGAGCAGAGTATCTCATACAAGCAAATACTCAGAAACGCCGGAAACTTGAAGAAGATGACAACTCATCTGCTTCCCAACATGTTGAGGTAGACTTTTAATTTTCTTCTTCTTTTTTTTTTTTTGGGAAAATCGGACTGATATTATTTTTAAGTTTTTCTTTTTGTTGTCCTTTTCTTGCTTTTGGAGATTTTTTTATTGTCTTTATTTATTTTTTATGTTAGGGTGATCTTATGAGCCTTTTCCTATTATATACTGACATTTGCTGGTACCCTCTTTAATTTTTTGCTATCAATCTAAGGTTTCAAGTCATTTTGTTGCATTTTTCTTCCTACATATTTCTTTTAAGAAAAAGAATAGCAAGTGATGCTCAAGCTAATATGAATCAGGCAGTGGCTGACTTGGGACAGAAGGTTGTGGAAACCACAGATCCAAAGCCAGGATTAGATATGAATAGGAGAAGACAAGGCCGTGGTAGAGGAAATGCTACTTCAGGGAGAGGGCGTGGCTCGCGAGTTAATGGTCAGACTCGGGGGCAAAATTCTCCTTCGTGCGCTTCACTATCAAATGGTCAGCTTGACAACTCTCATCATAAGGTATGGTCTATGCATCATGACTACTAGATTTTTTTTTATCGCCTTCCAAAACTGCAGCTGATGCTGGCACTGTTAATGCATGTCGTCACCATCATCTTTAGCAATCTTAAACATTCAGTAAGGGCATGATAATATAAGCATGTCATGTACCATATATGCTATCCCTTGTGTTTGTAGAGTGCAAATTTTGAATATTAAATGAAGTATAGGTGACTTCAGGTAAAGAAGTTTATGAAAAGAACTCGCAAATTGGATGAATCATTGGTTGATATTTGTCAATTGAATATTTTGTAGCCTGCCGGCCTGTGGAGATTAAAAGAGGGATGTCCTGATGTTGTGTATCCGCTGTTCACTCGATCATGTATCTCTTAAACTATTCAGTTTATTTATTTTTTTTCCCAATGAACATGGGCTTATAACCATTGACATCTCCACTTTCTAGAGCCTACATATTTGAAAGGCAATGAGTTCTAAGACAATCAGTCAAAATAGTTCTATGTGTTTAATGTTGCATATATTATTATTTGCTGAGTTGCGTATGAAATGGCCAAACCTGTTTTAGAGATCAAAGAGTGAGTTGCAATTATTTTTTGAGATTTTTTTTTCTTTTTATTTTTTTAATTACCTATGCTTGGGGTTGTCTTAGTAGTTAATATTGTTGGCAGTCTTGTTGTTTGCTGGAGTATCACCAGAGTGACCCAGGTCTTTAGGTTGTTGACTACTATAAAAGAGTGTATAGGACGAGAATAAGGCGGTGGATGGAGAGAGAAGAGCTCAAGAAGCAAAGAGGCAGAGCTCTAGTTATGTATGATAGGGTTATGTGCATGAGAAGGGACTTGTTGTCTGTTATGGAGACACGAATATGTTCAAACTAGGACTCAGGACAAGTGGCATAAGACCTCACGACCTGAGCAGTTGGCAGCGTGTCAGCAAAGTTAGCTGGGTTTGAGATCGGTTGAGTGCTTCGTCAGAGTCTCATAATTATAAGTAACGGCTAAATGTGAAAGTGTTGGGTCTTGTGGAATTTACTAATATTCTAGTTCTTCACTGTAAGACTATTGTCAAGCCATGTCCTTGTTGAGGAGGACAATTCCTGTCTTATGTTGTTGCCCAGAAAGCTAATTATTTTGTTACACCAAACAAGGAAAAAAGATGAGAAAGGAGATGTGGTATGTCATGTGCTCTAAAACATTTTGTGCCATATGCTCTAAATTGTGACATGATAAGACAGAGTTGAATGAATTATTTTATGAGACTTCCTTTAAAGTATTTGGTGTCCAACAACTGTTTTCCCAAATTCATTCTGTAAGTATGCATTAGCTGTAGCTTTATGGTTCATTCATTTAAAGCTTGACCTACCAAACTACATTTTACTAGATCTGAACTTATGCTTGATTTGGTTTTCCACTCATGCATATTTTTTCTTGTCAAGTGTTTTCTTTATAATTTTATTTACTATATATGACTTTGCTTCCTAGAAACCTTTAGGAGAATACATACATATACAAATTGAACTGTAGGAGTCACCATTTTGTAATTGATCTTTGTAACATCCTAATTTAAGAAACCTTCCCTAATGAAGCTTTGCTCTTGGCTTATGCTTTTAAAGTTTGGATATGAGATCACTTTTGTTGGAAAGCTCATGTTTTAGTATAATTGATAATTTTTACTTTTATATATTACAAACTAAAAAAGTGAGTTATATTCTTGCCTATTATGCTGTTTTGATATTGTTTGAGAGCATTAAAACAGAGACAAGCATTATATATGCCTTCATTGCGGATGTTATTGCTGAAGGATTTCAAATATTTCCTTCCGTGTACAAAGCAATAAATTACGTCTAACAAAGATATTAAATCATGTGCAAGGCTAAGTGCATCTTGATATTTTATCAAGGACAAAGATGAAGATACCTTTATAGGCTTCTTGACAAATTTTAAACAGTATGTTCCTTTCATATAATTTGCATATTGAATTTTATTTATCAACTGGGCACTATCAATAGCTCCTGCACCAAATACAATGCATAAATTTTGGTACATTGCCCTTAAATACTTTGCAGTAACAAATGCCATTATGTATATTGCAGTAATAAATTCATTCAGAGACTATTAACTCTAAATAGGAATTTTGCTTACCTGGTATGTGAATGGTGTCATAGCCTGTCCTCAATATTGCTTCTCCATGTTATACAAAATATATATGTGAACATTTCTCAACCTTATTGATGATTCTCTGATGTCATTTTGCTTGTTACTTGTTTGACAGAACTAGTGATTCTGAAAGTGTATATTTGATATACTTGCTTTCGTCTGTGATTATGTGGAAGCAACACTCGGGTAGGGAATTTTTTTTTTTTTTTTTTTTTTGGTTTGGTTGGGGGGGGGGGGGAGGAGATGTAGGTGTTTGGAAAGGTGTGAAGCCTGAGCTTTTTGGGGTTTTCAGCTTGAGCATTTGAGCCTTTTAGGGTTATGGCTGTGCTGGGCTTATCTTAACTCTTTAGGAGGCATTAAGCTCTTTTCTCCAGGCTTCATTAAAGCTTGGTTCACAGGTTATAGTGAATGGGAAAAAGACTAATCTATCCCTTCCTCATGCCAGCATATCGAATTTGTCCCCCCCGATGCCACACCTGCAGAAAATTTAGAAGAGCAATCCATTATCTAAAAAAGCCCAGTCTATCTTTAGGTTACCTAATGCCCCTCTCAAAGCTTAAAGTTCCTAGGCTTTTTAACCACATTGCAAAAGAGCTGGACTTCAAGAGCCAATTATCACTAAGGCAGTGATTTATTTGTTGATTGTCTTATGCCCCATTTTGCAGGATGGTTGGTCCAAAGGACAAAGCGAGAGTGATGATTGGTCTTCATTAGAGGTATCTTCTTTATGATGCAATTTAGTTCTTATAGGATCTTTTTTTTTTTTGTTTGTTCCCCTTTGATAAAGGGAATTAAGAACTTATTGTAGCTCTTTTTTACTTATCATATTTTCTTATGCTTTCATATGATTTGATAAAATTGTTCTTACTGCCTTGTCTGCTTTCACTAAAAGTAAGCTAAAGATGCATTTGATCTCGTATGATTCTGTATGCTTCTTGTGTCAATTAACTTTAGGAGGAGATCACATCCTTGCGTGCAAAAGTTGCAGCATTACAGGAGGACCTCAAGCAATCCCGTCAAGAGGCATCTGATTACCAGCAAAGGTGCCACCAGTTAGAAAAGGTATGGTTATTCTCCTCTCCCTTGTAGTTTCTACATTGACAAACTTTGTCTTCTGCCATTGTGATACTTGTTTCTCATATTTCTTTTGGGAAATGCACAGGAACTGAAGGAACTTAAAGACTTTGACCAGCAAATGAAGCCAAAGGTATGTTTTTCTGAGCTATATGTTTCTTCTTGTCAATAACATTCAATAATAAGCAAGTTATTGATTGTCAAAATTTTCTATTGCAAATTTTGTGGACTATTTGATTTGGATAACATGTAAGAGTTTATTCAGAGTTGGTAACAAAAACTGGTTGGGTGAACTGAGGTAGAAGGTGCTGGTGGTGAAGGAATTTCACCTTAGTGAAATTGGGGAAGAGATTAAATTCTGCCACTTTCACAGGATCTGGTCCTTTCCACAGATGTCAAGTGGGGGCAGAAGTTTGTGAAGACAAGCTGGTTGAGGCATTTGCAAATAATGTCTTTTAGTGTGTTGGTGAGGGGGGGGGGGGGGGTTGCTTATGTCTTGAAGGGGATGGATTCTGATGATGTGGTTGTCATCAAGGTTGTCAAATGGTGAATCATATTGAAAATAGTTTTTGCGTTTATAGGCCTTAAATAATAAAAAATACAAAAAATCGTAAAAAGGAAAAAAATTGGGTGTATAACCAAACAGCAGACAGATTATTGGTGAGTGAAAATTTTCTTTAAACCTAGTTGTTTCCAGAAGCTCATAATTTTGGTTTTCAGAGACATTTTCTTTACAAAATAAGACTAATTTTATATACACATGATGACATCTCCACCCTTAAAACAAGATGTTTCTGATCAAGAAAGTTAGGAGCACTATTGCTTTTATGTGCAGTAGAAATTAAAGAGATTTAACTTTTTATTAGATATATAAATTTTATAAATTAAAAAAAAAAATACATGTGCGTGTTTATAAAATTCATTTTATTTTATAGAAATTTTTTAATTATCTTGCATATCCTTGAAATTTACATATTTCTTTTTTTTCAATGGCTAAAATATTAATTTTAAGTTGTACAAATATTTAGTAACTTTTCTTCTATGTACATATATATATATATATATTTTACATATATATATTTGAAGTGTGATTACTCCCCTATTTCGTGTATGAATATTTTGGCACATCTTGCTTGACAAACTGGATGATATCCTGAAGCACCTAAAAAGGCACGAAGTATCTTTTCTTTTTGCCAGACTAGAGAAGTTTAGATAATATGTCAGCCTTCTTAATAAATCCTATTTGTGACTGATGGTTTGAATTGAAGATATACCAAGATTCTCCCTGAATTGGCTTTTGAGTTGGGCAGTAAAGTATTCCTAAGGCAACTGTTGAAAGCTATTAATTTTTTATTGATATGCCTCCCTTTGTCTTCAAAATCAGGGCAACATGGTATACTTGTATGGAGTGTGATAGTACTTAAAACTCCGCAACAATTATGTTGTAAGCAGAATATGCATGTTATTTCAAAAATTGAGTAAAAAGTTTCTGTGCTTTAATCAGTGTTCCATTATTGATTAGCTTTTTTGTTTGATGTGTTTGTTTAGATATTCAATATATGTGCATAAACCTTCTGTTTTTATCACATGAGAATTCTGCTTGTCAAAACAGGGGAAAAAAAGAAAGGAAATCGCAGATTGGTTGTTGCTTTCTTGGCATTGATGTGCAAAACTCATTGCAAACGGTTGACGCTGATTTTCTTTTCGTTATTGATTCAGAGAACAAAGATGTTGTCTGACCTATTGATATCTGTATCAAAAGCTGAGAGACAAGAAGCTAGATTAAAAGTGCGGCAAGATTCTTTGAGACTTGGGAATGTGGGTGTAATCAGGTGCTAGTTCATTTAATTTGTTTTATAAACTAGTATTTTGGTTTATACCTATTTAATGCCCTTAAAGTTTTGGAGAAAGAAATACATGGGAGGGTGCGGGCAATGTGAATCTAGTATCTATTACTGATCTGTCTGTCCCTCTGGTTATAGTTTGATGCTTGTCAGGATTTTCAATATATGTTTTTGCACTGATCACCTTGTCAGACAATAACTTCCCTCATGAATCTACAAAAAGAAACTTGTTTGGAACCTGTTCTGTAACTGTTAGCAATATCAAATAATTGAAGAAAATTGTCCAAAGATATAAGATAATAACCATTGCTTTAAGTTAGACTTCACAGTTTGCTGTAATCACAGGGCTCGATCTTTGATGTAGGACAAGGGATAACACGTGCTGAGATTTTTATGTCATAACAGCTTTTTTTTATCTTATTTCTTTTTCTTCTTTTTTGCTTCTCTATATTATTAAATGCCAATTCTATAGTGTCATAATTGGCAATTCAGAGAATTGATCGTTTGGTCATACAATTGAATCATTTATTCACTTTTTAGTAAGCAGTAAATTCTTGCTGGATGTTCAGTTACTCTTAATTTAGTTTTGCTGGATATTAGAGGAGCCCTTCATATGGTCCAAACTAAATTTATTGGTCTGAACTTTTCTTTTTTTAAAACAATATATTTCCCTTTTCCCTTTTTAATGTAATGGACATTAGCATGGTTGTCCGTTGTCTGAAGGCTCTGAACATAAGTTTGAGACAAATTTTATAATGGACAAACTCATGAATATGTATGTTGTGGTTTCATTTCACATTTATATGTTGCAAATCTTGGCATTAACTTCTATATGCTTTCTATGAATGGTTGTTTCTGATTGGGATTAAAAATTCTTGATATGCTTTGGCTTTAGTGGTGGCAACAATATATATCACAAAGCTGCATCACTTGCCTTTTCTTAACCAAGTATATATACAAGATGCATTTTCAAAATATTCTGGAGGGCACATTTATTCGTTGCCATTGCTGCATAACTTCCTGAAGTTCTTGATTTTCAAATTCAAAAATTAATGCATTGTTTTTACTAACAATGCTTTAAATTGCAGAGCTGGAACTATCATATCCGAGACCTGGGAGGATGGGCAAACACTCAAGGATATTAATTCTCATCTTGTATGTTCTCTATTTCCTTTTTGTTTTATTTTGGACCATGTTGGTGCTCATTTTATCTTTCATGTACTTTGCTGACTCTATTATACTCCTATGAAGATGAAGCTCAAAGGTCCAACTTGAATGGGGGAAAATTCTATAAAACTACCTTTTTAATGGTCAGAGAATCAGAATTTTGTAAAAAAAATCCTTTTTTTTTTTTTGGGTAGCCAATGATTTGTTGGTCTAGTGGCACCACCTCTGGGCTTAGTACCAGAAGTTCTTGATGGTCAGGAATTCAAATTCCGGTCGTTGCATTCCCCCACCCCCAGCACTTTGCCCTCCTTGTATTGCCACGGAAAAAAAAAAAAAAAAAAAAAAAAGAACGAGATTTTTGTAAAGCATTTTATGTATTTATGGTTACATGGAAATTGTGGGAAAAAACCTTAAGTCATGGCACATTTTTTAGTAATTTCATTGTTGAAAGCTGTTAGCAATAGTGGTTTTCTTAAACTCCTGGCTGTTTCTATTTAAGCTCTAGCTTTAGTATCCTAGCTTCTTGTAACATGACAATATAACTATGTAATCTCTACTGTCCTTGTACTTAACCTTAGGCATATCCGTTGCCTGTTGTGATTAGAACTGGTCAAATGTGTCAACAAAAAAATTTTTGCTTTCTGGATTGACCAAATTAACTGCAGTACGGTCTAACTTTATGAGTTAGAATAGTCAACATTTGGTGCCATATCTTAAACCAATTAAGGCGATAGCAGGGGATTCAAAAAGTTTGCACTGACTGAGGGGGAGAGTCATCAAGTGGCAGAATGGAAGGCTAATTCTGATGTACTTAGTCTGTTTACTTACTCAAGAATTTTGTAACACAAGCACCCTCTAGGTAAATTAAATTCTAAAATAAATAAAGAATATATGAAGTATAGGTCTGTCCACATCCTTCTAGCTCATCAAGTTTCCTACTTCACTGAAGTTTGCAGCTTGATTGTTTGATGCCAGTGGAATATGCATTCATTAGTTTTTCTTATAATTTTTTTTTTCCTTTTCTTTTTTTTGCTTTTTTTGGGGTGCCCTGGGGAAGAGGTGTCTCAGAAAATCTTGTTCATACTTTAATGAGTTTCCTGCCCTGATTTATGAGATCTCAAATTCACTGGTTCAAAGACATGACTCTTTTTGCTGGATTGGGAACTTACCCGATTGTTTTATTTTATAGCGACATCTACTAGAAATGAAGGAAGCTGTTGAGCGCCAGCGGAAATTATTGAAGAAACGACCGTCAGGTACTTTTTTTTTATCAATATGAGCAACTCTATTAATTTATTCAAGTCAAATGGCGTCAAATGTTATTGTATATTGGTTGCAACAGTTACATTGATGATACCGAATAGCTTAGAATGTAGTTCTGAATACTGTGGTATATAGGGAGTGGGAGGAATACGAGACTAGCATGAAAATATCAATGCTTGTTTGTCATCTGCACTTGATATAAAATGTCAAAATTTTTCATATCCAATAGTGTAGATATGAGAGGTTCAATTCTTAGTCCACTGCATTAGAAAGTGTGTTGGTTCTCTTTCTTATTTACGCTGCTTTCATGAGACACAATGATGACAAATTTAAATCTACCAAACTTGATTGTCAATGCAAACCATTTGACCTGAAGCCAACAACATCACTAGACCACTGCATGGCTCTGATAATCTAGATTTCCTACCACCTTAGTATGCAAGAAAAGTGCATAACTTTTTGACTGCTATAAGTTTATGCATTGATGCATAAACCCTTTGGGCATTAAAAAAATAGCTGTAGATTCTTGTCAGATGGCCCATGTTCTGACCAGATCTGGGTTCGGAAGGATGAAATCAAGTAAAAATAAAATAGGCCCCAAGGGTCCAAGTCAGAACATGAAATAAAGTTTTTTTAAAAAAGGTCAGACAAGTACTCAATCACTGCCACTGTATATGTTCTAAAAAGTCTGTTCAGTAGATCTACCTTGGACTATAAGCACCTCTTTGCTTAACAAGTGAGTCATGCCAAATCTTATCTTATTAACATGTCAGCTAGCCTTGCTGTCCACTTTTTGGGATGAACAACCCTCTATGCATACAATTGTATTCTGGTGCGGTCTCAGTAGTTGTTAGATGTTCTCTCCCTCACGTTATCGGCATTATTAGTTTACTTTTTGTCATTTAACAAAATTAAAATACTAATGGTGTTGATAATCATTCAAGATAAGGGAGACACAGTTGATGCTGAAATGGGATCTCAGGAGGAAGATCTTGTTATACAAGATGAGATCTATAAATCCCGTCTAGCAAGCATTAAGCGCGTAAGTTTCTATTATTAGAACTGTCATTCTAACCCTTCAGGAGCTCCCCTGAATGGGCCCCATCCCCCAACCAAAGAGTCAGAAAACAAGGGGATGGGAAAGATGATAAGTTCATAAAAAATATAAACACGTACCTCATTGACATAATGCTGTTTTGTAGGAGGAAGAGGCCTTTTTGCGTGAGCGGGATCGTTATGAACTAGAAAAGGGAAGGCTGATACGGGAAATGAAACGTATACGAGATGAGGATGGTTCTCGATTTAACAATTTTCAGGTCTTGAACCATCGGTATGCGCTTTTAAATCTTCTTGGAAAGGGAGGGTTTAGCGAGGTCTATAAGGTCAGAACTTTATCAGGTCTTGAATTACTGTCAACTTTCATTTGTTTCCTATTACATCTTATATTCTGTAGTGTTCTTTTTTATGAAGTTTCTTTCTGTGGGAAATGTCAGAATATACCATTTTGCAGTCATTTATGTTAGAATTCTAACAGGCATACGACTTGGTGGAGCATAGATATGTTGCTTGTAAGCTTCATGGTCTAAATGCTCAATGGAGCGAAGATAAGAAGCAAAGTTACATTAGACATGCAATTCGGGAGTACAATATTCACAAGACCTTAGTGCATCATCACATTGTGAGGCTTTGGGACATTTTTGAAATTGACCAAAATACTTTCTGCACTGTCTTAGAATACTGTAGTGGTATGTATGTTCTCTTGGCTGTATTATCAATTGCATGTTTTTTCCCCTCCTTTTAAATTGTGCACTTGCTTGGAACTTATTGCTTCTATTTCTGCTTTTAAAGAAGATAATGTTCTAATTTTGACTTCATTCTACATCATGTTAAAATTGCACTTCTTGACAGGTAAAGATCTTGATGCAGTTCTTAAAGCAACACCTATACTGCCAGAAAGAGAAGCCAGGATCGTTATTGTTCAAATATTTCAAGGCCTTGTTTACTTGAACAAAAGAACACAAAAGATAATTCATTATGATCTGAAGCCTGGAAATGTTCTATTTGATGAGTTTGGTGTTGCTAAAGTGACTGACTTTGGACTTAGCAAGATAGTAGAGGATGATGTTGGATCGCAGGGCATGGAACTCACATCACAGGGAGCTGGAACATATTGGTAAGTACTGCATTGATTTCTCATTTCTGCTTATGCTTTTTGTACTTGCTTTGAAGAGAATGAAAATGCTGCCAATTTAACAACTTCTTCAGCTTCAGCAATAATGGTATGTCAAGATGTCCTTTGTCAAATTGTGTTCTTCCTTTCTCTGATATGATCAACTCCTTGGTCCAGTACTAACCTATGGAAAATGGCAATATGACACGGCTGTATGTGTGAGTATCAATAAAAATAATGTTTGTTCTTGACCTTCCAGTATGGGGCCTGAATTCAGGGGAGGCCTAACTCATGTTGTTTCTTTTATTAGTTCTCTATGTATAGCATAAAAGGGGAATTGCCTCATGAGAAACTATGAAGAAATTGAATAAATCCTTTACCATTGTCTATGTTGATGCTATCAGCTAAAATAAACCTAATTTGCCCCAGGTCTTGGCTTGGAAAATGAAAGGGTGAGTGGTGTTTAGATATGTCTTCAGTTTGACTTACCGTAGTTGTATTGTGTAGGGGTATATGTACTTATGCATGAATCCTGACTTGATTGCTGCACACATAATTGCTTAAAGTTAGTCATTAGTTTCGTATTTTGGCTCTATCAAAAACATGTCCTATAGACCTACTGAGTGTGAAATTTGATTCGGTTGATTATGATATTTTACGAATGCTGATATGGCTTCTGCCTAAATGCAATGTGTCACAATGATTTTCCATTTTATCTCCTTCAATATTAATTAGGTTGGTACCTCATTATATTTTTTTAAAATTTATTTGGGGGAAGATTTAGGTGCATTGATGAATAGCAAGGAAAGAACCATATGAACTAGTTGAAAAACTGTGTTGGACATGACCCAATTCTTTATATAAGTCCAATTTAAACTCAATTTGATAGTTAATCCATGAACATAATGTTCTTACTATATCAACTTAGTGATTGTTATTGAAGAACAAGAAACACCAAACAGTTCTTATACTCAGATTCAATCATTTATATGGAGCGGGGATTAGCATGAATAGAACTGTTTCTGTTCTACATGAAGATATAGCCTCTGATAAAGCAGTGTGGAGATGTAGTCTTAATGTTGCCAGCCCCATGTAAGTTGGTGAAAAAGCTTATTTAGGTAATATCAATTTTGAACTTCAAACTTAAAATTTCACTTATTTTCCTATTTGCTGATCAGGCTCCCATTCATTTGGCAGTGCCAAGTGGACCATCTTTATGTATATTTTTCATTGGATCAGGGATATTTAGAATTTATGAAAAGTTTTTAAGATGTGCCATGCGTTGATATCAATAACAAGCCTGCAAGGGTGTAACTGTTAATAGAATAGTACTCCAAAATATTTGTAGTTCAATGAAGTAGAGTTTACCCTTCCTTTTCTTAATATTTTCAGGATATCATCCACATCCTAAACCTAAAATATTCACTTTGAGGAATTGATGTGGCTCATATCTAAATTTTTTTGTGACAATTATTGAAAACCTGGTCAAAGCACAACGTTGGGAAAAAACGTCTCAAACCAATACTAGACTCCATTTAGGTGGGGTCTGGGAAGATTAAACTGTGCTATTTGTTTGACTTAGACCTACACCACCTAGTTCATGTGTAGCAAATCACTGTTGCACCATATCTTGCCCTTCTAGGATACTTATTGTAGCTTTCCACAAATCCACCAAAACATCCAATCTTAGGCTTCCTTTCTTTGGCTCTCCTAAAGGCCGAAGCTGTCCCAAATGACAAAACATGAATGTGTAAAACAGTTTCATGTCCAAACCCTACCTAACTGAAATTAACATTTTCAGTTAGAAAGCAATTTTCTCCACATCCATTTGTAACATTTCAAATGCTAATAGCTCCTTGTATTGGAGCTGCCTGTATTTTGCTGTATTTTCCTCCTTTCTGTTTTCTTTTTTGAACTGTATGTTGCTAATATGGCAGTCAACTGATCATTCAATTCATTTTTTAACTCCATAATTTCAGGTATTTGCCTCCAGAATGCTTTGAGCTCAGCAAGACCCCCCTCATATCATCAAAGGTCAGTGAAACTGAAGTTTTCTTCCTTATGACACTCTGTGAATTGGGGAAGCGACAATTGCCTTTCTAGCCATCCATATTTCTCCTACTTCAGTCCAATTATAATTCAACTCATTCATTATTTGTTTGAATATATTTGGTACATCTTTAAGGGTCTTCATATTTAAGGAAGGCTTTCACACAAACTTCAAATTTCTGTTTATTCATCTGATGCTGGTGTTTGTAACATTTCATCTTTGTGACTAGGTTGATGTTTGGTCAGCTGGTATTCTGCTTTACCAAATGCTTTTTGGTAGACGACCTTTTGGGCATGACCAGTCACAAGAGCGAATTTTACGTGAAGATACTATTATCAAAGCTCGCAAAGTGGAATTCCTTCCAGACCTGCTGTCTCAAATGAAGCAAAGGTGGGTTCTTGCATTAGCTTGCTGCTACTTCTGCTGCAGGTGGATGTAATCCCTAATTGTATTGTCATATTCTTTCTTTGTTTGTCTTTTTTCTTTTTCTTTTTTCTTTTTTCTTTGATTTTGGTGTTGCCCTCTTCCTTATTATGCCAAAAAAATAGAAACAATTATTAAATTGGGAAAGAGAATGATTTTCCTTTTTCTTTTTTCCTGACATTCATTAGAAGTTGAGGAAACCTCCTCCCTTACTCTTCTTCAAATAATCCTCTAGGAAATGGGTGTATGTGGTGTAAGCTGAGGACAGATTAGTGTCAGGCCATAACATGTATAAATGAGTTGACTTGAGGTTCTCATTTGATTCATGCACCACATTTAGTCCATGATGGGCTACTTGACATCGTTATATCTAATTATTATTATTAGACCTTGTTAACTGCTATCCTATAGAATACTTCTTGTTAACTGTTGGTTTATCTCTCAGGAAATATACTATTTTCTTTGCAATGATACTACTTTTCTTTGACGCTGTGCAGGAATTTATTAGGCGATGTTAACATATAATCAGGCAGAGAGACCAGACGTGTTATCCATTGCTCAAGACGCGTACCTTACATACTCGAAGAAATGAACAGTGTCACCAACCAATATGCTAAAAGGTTCGCCTTAGCTTGGAGGATGTATAGAGTTTCCTTTTGATGAAGTTCTGAATTAAGAAAAACCACAGAATCTGCGGGGAATTTTGTATAGTTGTAAAGCTTTTGTAATTTCCCTCCCGGCTTTTCATGCCCAGGATGGTGGGTATTGAATTTTCTTTTTACATAATTTCGGGTCATTGTTTTGTTTCCTTTTGTTGTTGTGCAAGTGGATGTACCTTTTCCTTCTGAAAAGAAGAGAAGATGGAAAGAGAAGGGGAAACAGAAAAGATAAAAAACAAACTAAATTATAAAAGGATATTTAATTTGGAAGTTTGTTTTTCTGGTTGTTGGTTCCTACCATCCTCCAAAGTTTGTTCTTCTGGCTTGAAGCTTACAGTAAGTTAACTACCAGTCTGGCTTTCAAGTTGACAAAGTTTTATGCTCTTTTATTTATTTTTACAAAAAAGTTGTATGTTTTCAAAAAAATTTTAAATTTTGCAAAAGTTGTTTGAAAGATGGGAATAGTTTAAAAAAAGGGTTAGCTTTATTAACTTTTCTTAAACTATTCTTGAAACGTTCCTTAATCCTTAAATTAAAAATTATCATTTACCTCTTTGATTTTGAACGAGCGTGTTTGCTATTTGAATGTTGATGATGTTAGATATAGGTAGCATGTGATAGACGGTTATGGAACCATTGAAAATTTTGGATGAAAATGCCTCCAAGCAATATGTTATTTTGAGCTGATTGTTAATTCATTTTTACTTAATTCCCATTCTAAAGCTTTCATTTCACTCATAATTTCTCAATTTAGAGTATTTCTAATCCTAATTTTATTTGATATATTTGTTGTTATAATATATATAATAAAAATATATAAAAAGTATATTTATATATATATGTATATATGCATTATATATTTTTATTTCATATATAGTGAAAAATATATTTTCCCTTTTCTTTTCTGTTTTTGCCTTTTATTCTATTCATTTTTTCCTTTTTCATTTTCTTTTTCTCCTATTACTGCAAACAGCTCTACCCCTTTTTCCTTTTTCTTTTATTTTTCTTCTTTGCTTCCTTTTCTCATTTGTCTTCTTTCCATCCTTTTCTTTCATCTTGCATGGTGGCCGAACGAGCTGCTCATTCTCCTTTTTCTTTTCCTTTTTTTTTATGTTTTTTCCCTTTCCTTTCCACCAGCATGGAAAGTTGTTTCACTTAATATGTGTCTGTATAATATAGTATATATTTTTTATTCTAATTTTTTCACTTTATATATCTGTTATAATTACAATATATATGTTGTTATTTATGTATAAATTATATATATATATATATATATATATATAAACCTCAACTTTGAATTGAATCTAAAGTTTTAGCTATTCTCCTTTCTTTACATTTGTGACTTAATTTGTCTAATTTATTTAATTTCAATTTCTCAACTTTAATTTGGTGCGAAATATAATCTTTTATATATCATTTTATTATTTGTTATAAAATATTATTAACCTAAAAAATTTTTATATACATTTTATATATGTTTGTTATATATATATTTGCTTATAACAAATATATATCAAGTAAAAATATAAGGATTAAAAATATATAAAATATATATTTAACACACACACACACATATATATAAAGTAAGAAAACTATCACGACTTGAGAATTAGATATATAACCAGTGCTAAGATTAGAATATAATTCAATCTACCAATCGCGATAGAAATCTTGAATTTATTATATAAATCAAAAAAACAAAACCAAATCTTATATAAATAAAGTGTGAAATAAAAGTATAATTCAAATTTTGACAACTGTCAATATATAATAAGAAACTTGTTTATAGTCAGTAGAACTTGTCAACTAAAGTTTCAAAGTCTAATAGAAATTAGAAACAGAAAAAGTACTAACTTTACGAATGACAAATCAAAAGCCTAAACATCAAACACTCCTTAAATAGTAAGATCCGAAGAAATGTTGAACTTTCAAATATGAAAAATGATAAAGGAATGAGTTAATGACTTAGTGAATAATGATATATATGTATGAGAATAAGAAACAGATATATCAATTATAACAAGAAACTTTACAGAAAAATAAAAATTTATAGTTATCCAGAGTTTAGAGAGTTTGAGATCTAGAACGTAATAGAAATAGAAATCAAAAATTTCAACAATTTCTTAATCTGGTGGTATCCAGATATACAAGTCTCCCATGTCAGCCTAATAAAGTAATCTAATACATCTATGTTAGTTGAGAATACAGTCAAAGGTACACTTAATCTAATACCTATTACTATTAATTATAATGTTCTAACAATTCAAATCTTCCTTAAAATAACTTTTCCAAATTAAACGGAAATAGTCTCAACAAAAAATAGGATTTTCAATTACAAATATAAACAATGTCACGATAAGCAATATTGGATAGTTTTCTCAAAACAAATTCAATAATGACATACATATCCCTTGTTATTCATTTATAATAATTTAATTCAATTTTTAAGAATCAGTTATATATAGAAATAAATAATGTAAAATCAAGATTTATAACAGATATGAAAAACAGTATATGCTCATAAATGCATATTATTACTCAGAGGACATGTTGGAATCAAATGGTTCGATTTTTGATACTATAGGGTCGGTGAGAAACTTCTAAGGAATGAGTTCTAAATTAAAATCTTGAAAAACTTAAGAGTTCGATTAACTCTAGAAACTCTTAGTCAAACTAGTTTGATTGAAATAATCCAAATCCAAAACCAGATTTAGATTTTGAGGTCTAAAGCCTAAATCTAAATTTAATAATTATACATTTATTTATTTACTTCTTTTAAAGAGAAATCCAATTTCATATTTGGATTTCGAAATCCAGAGTCCAAATCCAAGGACTCGATCTGAATCCAAAAATCCAAATACAATCCATTAGATTCAGAATTAGAATGCTAATATAAGGCCAATTTTAATATATTATTATTATTGTCGTTGTTGTTATTATTTTTAAAAGTCCAACTTTAAGTCCATATATAGAATTCAAATTTAAAACCAAATTCAGATCTTGAGATATTGATCTAAAACTCAATTCATCATCTAGATTCAAAATACAAGTCATTGCACAAAAATTAGATCTGAAACTCAAATCTAGATCTAAATCCATATTCATTAATCAATCCTTTGGGTCATTATCACAAACTTAAAACAAATCCAAAACCCATATTCTTAATGACAATTCTAACTCTACTAGATTTAAACCTATAATTCTAAAACTATCTCAAAACCTTTAAACTAAAACCCAAAACTATCATCTAGATCTAAATCTAAATCCAATATAGAATCTATATCACAATTCAACACTCAACCAATTTCTATGTAACCATAATTGAATCCAAAATCTAAGCCCAAAGGTCCAATTCATATATGATGAACTAGGCTGTCTTCCTTCTTCCTTCATTAAGTAAATCACACAGCAAGACAAGCTTTTGAGCCTACAATGATAACTTTCAATGCCAAAAAGACATAAGATGACTACTCCACCTTTGTCGATTAAACAAAAATAAAACTAGAAATAATGGTGATTCTTGCAATGATGGCGTAGAAGGCGATGATGGAAATCAGCAATTGTGTTTTAACAATTTTTCCAAAAATCAGAGATTATTAGGTAAAATTAATTAAGGAATCTCGTTTTAATAACTTATATTAACATGATTGTATACTTAATTTGAGTTCAAATCACGTAAATTTAAAGAATTTGATAGGATTATAATTAGGATTTTGGATAAGAAAGGAGAGAAGATTCAAATCCAGATTTTTAAAATTTTCAATTTGATCCCTTAATTCTTAGTTACATGAAATTTAATTCTTGACTATTTATAATTCATTCTATTTGAGAATGTAAAGTTTAAATTAAATTAATTGAGTTCTCTAATTTTTTAATTAAGTCTCTGAATTGTTTGTTCTTATCATTAAATCCTTAAATTATCAAAATTTTATAATTATCCTCTAAATTGGGGTATTACAAAAACGGGGAACCATTATTCAGCCCATGTACGCGGAAAGAAAAGGAAAAAAAAAAAGAAAATGGAGAATAAGCAGCGGGTTCGGGCACTGTGCAGGAAGAAAGAAAAGGATGGAGAGAAAAAATGAGAGAGAGAAGGAAAGAAGAAAAATGGGAAAAGGAAGCAAAGAAGAAAAATGAGAGAAAAAGAAAAAATTGGGAAGTTAGGCTGTTTGCAGTAAGAGGAGAACAACAGAAAATGGAAAAAGAAAAAAATGAATAGAATAAAAGGAAAAAAAAGAAAAGGGAAAAAAATATTTTTCATTTGATATAAAACAAAAATAATATATATAAGATGATATGACATATATTATATATAAATATATTTTTATATTATTATATTGTGTTATATATATTATAATAACAAATATATCAAGTAAAAAAGGGATAAATCTAAAATTCGGAAATTAGTAAAATGCCGGGGAGAAATAAAAGAAAGAAATAAAAGAAACGAGTGAAATAAGATTATATGGGTGAGAATTAGGTAGGGAATGAGTTAAAAATAAGCTTAAAATTTTATATAAAATATTTAGAAGTATTTTTGTTTAAATTTTTAACGCCTTTATGACTTTTAATCAAAGTTAACGTATCGTTAATAATATCGATATTTAAATATATATTATTAACATTTAAATGGCAAACACTAATGACTCATTAAAATTAGAGAGCAAGTGATATTTTTTTATAGTCTAAAAGTTTAAGTGATATCTCGAAATTAGTTCAGAGAGATTAATGAAATTAACTTTTAAAAAATCATTATACAATCATATGGTTACAAAAAATTCCATGTGAGTGTATATATACATAGAGCGAGAGAAGGAGAGAGAGAGAGGGCCTTAAGTGTTTTAAACATATATTCTTATTTTAATTTAAATTACCAATATGACATTTTAAGAAATATTTTCAATGAGAATTTTCTAACATCTTCCAAATATTTGTATAAAAGTGTAAATGTGTCAATCACTTTAATTGTTCACACCTATTTAACACTACAAAATCTAGACCAAAACACACAACCACTCCTCTGCGCTAATTCCATCGATCAAAAGAGAGATTCTCTTCCTATGATTTAATAATAGCCTCTAGAAGTTTCTCATTATAAATTTTCTCAGAAAATCCTTGCCTCGACTTTAGTCCGCAAAACTATGAACAACATTTTACCTCAGATGGGTATTGGGTAATTCGATATTTCCAAATATAACCTTTCAAATTGCAATTTTTGCCGCCCAAAATATCCACCTGGGTGGTTATTTACAGGATTTGGAAGGAAGATGGAGGTAACATGAAATCTACCTCTACCGCCGCGGAGGGTTTAAATCTATCTGAAAATAATTTCAAAAACCTACTTTAATATTTTAAAAAATTACTCACAAATAATTAAAAACTAAAATTAATTTTCTAAAAAAATAAATTAATACTTTAATACTAAAAAATTTAAATTTTAGCATTATATTTCTTAAAAATATATAAAATAGATATTCTCTTTTACAAATATTAAATTTATAACATTAATCTTCTTAATCAATATTTTAGTAAAATATTCATGTAAAAGTTTATTTTTAAAGGATAAAAATATTTTGCTAAAAATATATAGTAATTATCAATAATTGAAACTGAGAAAATTAATCGATATTTATATTTAAAAAATATTTATATATTTTAAAAATAAAATTTTTAATAAATATTTAATTAAAATATGATTCAAAAGATAAATATTATAAATTTAATATTTATAAAAAATATTTTTTTTACATATTATGAATTGAAGGAGTAAATATTATAAATTTTATACTTATAAAAAAATAATTTTACATATTTATAAGGAGTACGGTGAAAAATTTTAAATTTCGGATCAACTTCCTTGTGTTTGTAGCGTTTGAGCTTTAAACCGTGAGCCACAGGAACATCATCTCAACTTTGAAGTGGTAATTGCGGCTGCTTCTCTCTCTCTCTCTCTCTCTCTCTCTCTATGGCATTTTCTACAGGTGGTGGTATCGCAACAATTCCGCTGCTGAAGGGAGGTAATAAGGAATTATTGGTGCAACTGAAGAATTGCTCTGGCTACGGGGGTCAGAGTCGAAGGCAGGTAATAAAGGCCAATCTGAGGGAAGATGAAGCACCATCTCCATCTCCATCTCCTTCTTCTTCTTCTTCTGTTTCTACGGCTGAAAATACAAAAGGAGGACTAGGCATAGGATCTCCCATTGTTGTGATTGAAGCTCCCAAGATGATTAAAACCGCGGCTGCTGTTCCTTGCCTTAGGGCTAACGCTGGCTTGGTCAATCCTGGCGATGTTGGCAGGTACTCCTCTCTCCCCTTCCCTCTCCCCCTCAAATTCTGAATAAGGAAAAAGAAACATATATGCATTTCTCCTTGATTTTATGTGCTTTTATTCGCTTATGCATATTTTTTGCTTTGCCAACTTCAGGGTTAAGGGGAAATTATAGGCTTACTGAGAAATTTAATTATTATAAAGGGTTAAAAAAAAAAAAATCAATGAGAGGGTCCTATCACCATGCCAGGCAGGGCAGACGCATCTTGTACGCTATTGCTACTGCAACTGGCCGCATTCAATTTTTACAAAACTCATCATTATTGTGGCCACTTGCCAAGATGATTAGGTGTGTAATTGTTTGAAAATTTTGAAGTTACAGTTTCAAAGTGAACTTAGTGCCTGAAAAATAATGTTAAAATATAATGTGTTAAAAGTTAAAAAAACACTAAAATTTGCCCAGGTTTATTGTTCTTTATATAGCTTCAAAAAGAAAAGTGACTGAAATTTCAATTATTGGCTAATATCTAATCATTACTAGTAATTTTGAATTTGAAGAAGTGACTCTTGCTGTGTGTTAGACATGTGACTTGCTTAAGTAATAAATATAATGGGTATTGCATAAAAAGCTTGAATCAAAAGTCATAACATTTAAACAACGAATAGGATGTTTGTAATAATTGTTAGAAATTTGAAATCCCTTTTGTAATATTTAATGTATTGAGTATATTGACAAGTGGATATTGAAGTTATAGTTTTGTTTTTGATGACTTGGGACATCTTTGTAATTTTTTGCGTGACTTTTCGTATGCCATAGTAAAATAGATGCTAAATTTTGACTACCCAAATATTAACCTGAAATGAGCCAGTTATAAAACTTCACATGCCATAGTAAAACAGATGCTAAATTTTGACCACCCAAATATTAACCTGAAATGAGCCAGTTATAAAACTTCACAAAACAATAATTTTTTTTAAAAAAAGGAATTTCAAAATGCTAAAAATTTTCTTCCTTGCTTTATCTATCAATGTAGTTGATTCAAATAAAAAATGAAAACCAGAAATAGATTACAGTTCCAAATATTTATGAGGGTACCCTTGTAGATTCTCTTAATAAAAGGAAAAACAACATATATAGGAAATCTATATTATGTACCTAACAAATTATCTAGGTGGTCTTTTTGAAGTTGAAGAAATTGAAAGATATAGTGATTGTAATATTTGAAAAAAGTAATAGCTATTATTTAATTAATCATTCTTGAATCTTGCAGATCTGAGATTTGCATGAAAAATCAAGTAGTATTCATATTCACTAAATATGGATTAGAATCTAACAAAGGTCAATCGAATCAAACAGTAAAATATAAAGAGGAATGTGTATACAAGTGCATCATATTTGAGAATGTGCTTCATATTTTCTGTATACATAATATTTATCTAACGCGCAACATTGATCAAAGGTGGCAATATGTAGCTACAAACAGTGTTGCTGTAATTGCATTACTTCAGAAGTAAGACGTACTCCATAGTACATGACTATTGTGCTTTTCGACTTTTCATTTTTAGTCCAAATGGACTTGTTATAAAAGAAAATACCCACTTCCAAATCATAAAATTGTGATAATCCTTTATAAATTCTAAACTTAAAAGAATATAGTGTTTATTTTCTCACAAATTTTGACAGATTTTCTTTTCATAAGTTCTCTGGAGAGATAATATTCCAAATTTTTTTGAATTAGTATTATTTCTGTTTTGTAACAATTGAAATCCGACTTTAGATTAATTAGTATTATATCCTATATCCCATATTTCTGGCACACATTTCCCTTCTATGGGACTATCTTCAAAAAAGGGAAAGAAAAAAGGTTTTGTACCATGCTACTCCAATCTATACAAAAAGGTATACAAGAAACTCAAATGGTTGCTAAATAAGCTTCTCTAGTGGTGTGCCTCAATTGGTTGCTAATTTTACCTTAATTTATACGGTTATCCCATAAAATTTTTAGAATTAATAAATGAACAAAATTCATGAAGATTACTTTAAAATATTTTTAAATAATTAAAGAAAATAATATGTTCTAGGGATTGAGAGGACAGGTAATCCATGCTAATTCTAATAAAGAAAAAGCAATTAAGGAACCCAAAGCCTTGGTGATTCATTCGTAACTACATTAAGGTGGTAACTTTCACTTAATCTTTCTTTTATCTGTACAAAGAGGTAAGAACTGTGAAAGTATTTTATGAAGTAAAAATCAAACAAATTCCAAAATTCTCACAACAAATAGTTATGGTATTCTATGTTTACTATTTTTTTGATGTCTCTTATTAAATTTTGCCATTATGCAAAATTTCCACCTGTGAACTAAATGATTTACAAATGTAAATTATTTATTTTGTTTTTGTGCGTATGTTATGCAAATAAATGCTTACTACTGGGAAAAATGTTTGCAATATGACCTAATTATGATGATACTACTCCCTATGATTATGAGACAGTAGCATGATAATTATATAAGATTTTAGTTGTTGTTTTATGGTATACGGTTGGCTTATAATCTAAATGGGGGCATTTAAATTATATTTTCAAGCTGTTGTTCTTTTATGCACACGTCTTTTTGCTTATACTACATGAACATCAGCTAGTATTTCTTAATCAAATCCTCTTATTATTCAAACACAAATATTGATGAAAGAAAAAATAAATGATTGGCCCTTTAATTATGATGTTCATCTTTTATGAAAATGAGATGAAAAATTTGGTACAGCTTGTTCACCTGCATTTCTTGCTCTTATGTGCTTATTACTTTGCAATTCAATTGCAGAATTGTCTCGAGAAAACCCAAGGATGTATGGGCAGTTCGTCTAAGTATTGGTACTTATCTCATAGATGGAAAATACTTCAAACCCTTGGATCTTACAGAATGAATTTCGATGTTTTTGGGCAATGATCAATTACAGTAGACATACTAATGAAGTGGGTATATGTATATATACAGCTCACGAAGTTTAATGAGTTATATTTTCCTGTACAAAGCATTTGTGGTTTCCATTCGTGAGTGCAAGATGTATATTGCTTTTCACTACCCTTGACCAAAACCATGTTGAGACATCATGCTTCTGTATTGGTTCAATGTCTTTTTTGTGAGTCTTATTCATTGAAACAAATGATCTAAGTTGTGGCTTGAGGAAATCTTATAATGGGACCAACCAATAACTTTATTCCTTAGAATATTTGGCCATTGAAAAACAATTTTTATGAAAAATAAACATAAAAAAATGGTGGGATGACTGTAAGAAATGCAACCAATTTTGTATGGCAACCCGTATCCTGCATCACTGCAAGTTATTGGAGCTCCGGGTTGTCAGTATTAAAGACTCTTTGCCAAGGTTGTGACACCGACCACACATGTGAGGCATGCCTTTTGGGCGCATAGATATGTCTCCATACGTAGGGCTGTCAATGTGTTGGATTTTAATCCGAATTCAATCGGAATCTGATTCGAATTTTAGGCCGTTTAACCGATTAAAATGTCTGATGGATTAAATCTGATTCTAAATATTCGTAATCCGAAATAAGTGGATCGGATATGGAATTAAACAATCCGATCCGTTAAAAATCCGAATCCGAATAATTTAATAATAATTTTTATTTAATTAATAATTATATATATTTATAAATACTTTTATATATAATATAATATATATGACATTATAATTAATAATATACTAATTTGTATTTGTGAGATATTTTATTTAATAGAATAATGTATATTTTTTCTAAATTGTTTTATAATATTCTTTTATTTTTCATAATTTTAGTTTTTCTAGTAAGTATTTTTTTTAATAATTAATTACTTTTGAAATTTCATAAAACACTTGAATAAATTGATTATAAAATTTTCTAAATTCTAACAATAATACAAATAAACTTGATAGTTTTATAAAATATTGGAATTCTATCATCACTTTTATAATATATTATATAACAAAGTTCTTCTTTATCATTCATAAATAACAATTTATTTTTAAATTTTATTTATATTTAATAAAATAAAAATAATTAAACATAAATCGTACATGAATTTTTATCATTCTTATATAATAATTTATTTGATTTTACATATATTTTACTTATTGATTATTTGATTTTAATTATTATTAACAGTCATTCGGATCGGATTTTTTTTTTCAGATTTTGAATTTTTATCAGATTCGGATTCGGTAATAACAGGTAAAAATCTTATAGGATTTCGGGTCAGATTCGGATATATACATTGATAATCAGATTTAGATTCGGATCAGCCTGATTTGATCCGAATCCGATCCGTTTACATACTTACCCATACGTATTTGTGGTCCATGGCAATGCTCCTCTTTTTCATGCAGATGCATAATTAATTATTTTTTATTATTTAGTAAAATAATTATAAGAAATGTTTGTATGCTAAAATGTTTAATTTAATTGCTCATTCATTTAAGAGGTATTAGATCTGTAATTATTTAGGTGAAGGGTAGATTGGAGTTATAATATTGGAATATTTGTACTATAATGATGATCGTTGTTTACAATTATATCATTAATTACAAAAAATAGAATTTGGATATTTTCTATTTTTGATTTTTTTTTACTAAGTTTTAAGAAAAGTAACCAAGAAATAAGAATCCCAAATAAGCAAAATTACCTTTTTGGGACTAGAAGTTGAATATTATTAGAAATAAATTCTCACAAATGGCACTTTGTTTTTTCTCTTGTATTTCTACTGAATTTTTCCTTCTCCTTTTTTTCAAAAATTTTTCCCAATGGGTAATATAGCAAGTTATGCATCATTAAAGTAGACAGATGTCCATTCTTTACATCTCCAGTCTTGGATTCTTCTTACGATGCCCTTGATGGTGGTGGTGATGACTAAGGGAGCAAAGAAACTACAAAATTTTTATGGTGCAGGGAAAGTGGAAGGATATAATGGCTAAGGTGGCGAAGGAGTACCGAAGAATGTTGCTTATTACATTGGGAAAGAAGGACGCCTTAAAAGGATGAGAATCAAAGACAACATATGGCGTTGTTTGAT